CAGTTTCTGTTGGAATGTGAAGGGTTAAATGAAAGAAGCTCCTCTCTGTGAGTGTGAAGACAGGAGCTGTTGGACGTCCAGCTAGAATTCACAGAGGGCCAGCTATAGTAACTAAAATGAGAGAGTAATGTCAAATGACAGTACAATTGACCAATCATATCTTCCTTCTAAATGGGTGGGTGTTATTATCGCGGACTTTATGACATAATAACTCGAGGGAAGGGGGTGGGGGTCAGAGGGCCTAGGTATAAGTGCACGGCTCGCCACTGCAAATAGCCAATCACACAAAAAACATGTTGCTGTGACTGTGAGCATTAAGCAATTAAAATTAAACTAAACAAACACAACAGTACGTTATTGTCCTTATAAAATAAAAACATACATTTTGTCCACCGATATAATACAGGCACCTTACCCTCAAGAGATCCTCACGTGCTATGAGAATCTCCCACAATCTATTGCCATAACAAAGCTAATGCAGGCACACGTTTGTGACACTAGATGGCGCAATTTTGTATGTGCGTGTGGGGAGTCTTGCAGTAGAAAATTTGACTGTAGTGCCGCCACTGTGGGCTAAGCCCCGAATGTTTCCAGGTCCAGGCAACGCCCCTGCTGCAGACCCATTCTCACAGCGTTTATCAACCTTTTTCTTACTCAATATCAAGCCACACTTATTGTTTTTACTTCGGCTGTGACTTTGTGTGTGCTCAGGGTGAGTTTGGCTGTGTTTCGCTGTGTATCGCTAAACAAGGAAATCACACCTCCACGGAGCTCAGCGCGATTCACAACGTCCCGACTGGTCCCGACCAATCGGAGCACACTGGGCTCACAGGGAGGGGGGGGCAAGAGCTGCAACGAGCCGTTTAGTGGAGAGAGTGAATACACGTAGTTTACAGAGATGCTGTATGCGAAACAATGTGAGTTTGGAAAATTGCACAGTATAAATCTATTCTAGTAGACCTCAACAATGGAATTATGATCAGTGGAAATGGCCATGACATGTGACCTTTTAAATCCTCAAAGGTCCTTCAGGGGCTTTGTGCAGAATGCGGCCTTATTGACGTATGGCGTCAACTAAATCAGGATGTCAAAGATTACACTTTCTTTTCAAATGTCCATAACTCTTATTCTAGAATAGATTTTTTTTTTATTCCCTCAAAATACATGCATAGGGTAAAATAATGTAAAATTGATTCCATTAATATTTCAGATCATGCAAGAGTTTATTTAACTATTCACTTGGAGAGTGGAGAATTGGTATCCAGGCGCTGGAAATTTGATAACTCCTTACTTAGAGATGAACAATTCAAATAAAAAATGCGAATGTGGATAATTTACTATATAAAAGAAAACAATGACCCCTCCTATAGATCCGAATATTATTTGGGAAGCTGCAAAAGCTACTTTAAGAGGACTTATTATCTCATACACATCTTTTAAAAAACGTGAAAAAGTTAAGCTCAGACAAGAACTTGAAAGAGAAGTAAACAGATGTGAAGTACTTCATAAATCCGCATCGACAGATGAAAACTGGAAACAATTAAACACAGCCAGAGCTAAATTAAATATTGACTTAACAAATGAAATCATAACACAGATGAATCTTATCAGACAAAATAATTATGAATTCGGCAATAAACCAAGTAAACTACTTGCCTATCAATTAAAGAAGCAGCAAGCAGAAAGGGCTATAAAGGCAATTCGTCTGAAAGACAACACGATAACCTACCACCCAAAACAGATTAACCAGACTTTTTATGAATTTTATAACAAATTATACAAATCTCAAAGTGATTACTCACAAGATGAACTGGACAATTATCTCCATAACATTAATTTACCTACATTGTCTGATTTAGATCAAGAGTATCTAAACTCATCAATTACAGAAGTAGAAGTTTTGGCTGCAATTAAATCTATGCCTATAAATAAAAGCCCAGGGCCTGATGGCTTCTCGGCAGAATTTTATAAAGAATTTTGGACTGAACTTCAACCTATATTTATGTCAATGGTTAACAACTTCTCTCACAACAGAACACTTCCTCAATCAATGAATCTTGCATATATTACTGTACTACATAAAGATGGGAAAGACCCCTTGAATTGTTCTTCATTTAGGCCTATAAGCCTCTTGGATCATGATTATAAGATTATCACCAAATTATTAGCAAAACGACTGGAAATTATTTACCTAAACTAATTAGTCCTGATCAAACAGGTTTTGTCAAGGGCAGATATTCTTCTGATAATATAAGGAGACTTTTGAATATTATAAACCATTTGGACACCGGTCAGAAGCCATCTCTGCTTCTTTCTTTAGATGCAGAGAAGGCTTTTGACAGGGTTGAGTGGAATTTTCTTTTTGCTATCTTGAACAGGTTAAATATGGGCTCTCGGTTCATAGAGTGGGTCAAATCAATTTATAAAAATCCTAAAGCAGCGGTTATTACTAACTGCAGTTCCTCAGATTTTTTTCCACTAACAAGGGGGACAAGACAGGGATGTCCTCTGTCACCTTTGCTTTTTGCAATTGTAATTGAACCACTGGCGTCATGTGTGCGAGACAACATAAGTATTAAAGGAGTGAAGATTAACGATGAACACAACATTTCTCTGTATGCTGACGATATCATTCTTTACTTAACAGACCCAGACAATTCAGTACCACACTTGCACGACACGATAGAGCAATTTGGAAGATACTCAGGATATAAAATTAATTTTAAGAAATCTAATGCTTGTTTCTTAAATGTGACGCCAACAGCAAATTTGGAAAAGTCTTGTTCTTTTAATTTGTCACCAGGTGGCTTTAAATACTTAGGAATAAATATAACACCACACCTGGATAATCTGTTTAAAGAGAATTACAATCCACTCATTGACAAAATCAAACAGGATTTATCTAAATGGTCCACATTACCAATATCACTGCTAGGAAGAATCAATGTCATAAAAATGAATATTCTACCGAGATGTATTTTTTCTTTTTCAAATGTTACCATGCTATTTATCTGCTGACTATTTTAAATCTCTCAATAGACACATCTCAAAATGTATCTGGTGTAATAAAAAACCAAGAATCAAGTTACTTACTCTTATGAAACCAGAAACTATGGGTGGTCTTGGTCTTCCCAACTTTCAACACTACTTCTGGTCGGCTCAATTAAGAAATGTACTATCTTGGTCTCTGGGAAGAAAGGATTCACTATGGGTTCAGATAGAAGCCAATATCTTTGACCCGTTGCCAGTGGAAACTCTTATATTTGTTAAAGACTTCAATAAGGTGAAAAATATGGCCAAATGTTTTACAGTGGTCAATACACTTTTAGCCTGGAGGGACTGTACAAAAAAAGCTCATGTTAACTCAGGTATTTCGATCTTTTCTCCTATTTTGAACAATCCTGATCTTAGCAAATATTTGTTGTCAATTAATATAAACAAATGGACGAAATCAGGTATAAAGCAATTGAAACATTTGTTCCACAAAGATATAACATTGAAATCATTTAATGATTTAAGAGCAGAATATGACATTTCAAATAAGGATTTTTTCAGATACCTGCAAATTAGGAACGTGATCCACTCAATTATTAAAAGCAATACATTGAGATCGGGATTGTTGGAAGAGGAGGAGATATTGATGTCATCGAGCAAAGGTAAAATTAGAGAATTTAATGCAGTTTTTTTATAAAAGAGCTCAGTCATCCTTTCCAACTTTAAAAAAGATCTGGGAAAAGGACTTAGGGATACAGATAGATGAAACTTGGCTGAATATCTGTGAAAGAACACATTTTCCATTCACAAGCAATAATATCAAAGAAGCAAACTTTAAATTTCTCAACATATGTTTCCTCACACCCATAAAGATGCATAACATTTCCAAAGAAAACTCTTCAAAATGTCCGAGATGTAAAGTAAAAGAAGGAACATTTTTGCATCTGTTTTGGGACTGTGATCTCTTGAAACATTTCTGGGATTCGATTCATGTGCTCACAAAAGCCGTTTTAGTCATCGAAATGAGCCAAAATCTATGCTTTTTCCTGTTAAATGACATGCCAAACTTTAAACTGAACCCCAAACATTACAGAATACTAATCACAATAACATATTTTGCCAAGAAATGTATACTTTTACTCTGGAAGAATGAACGTCCTCCAACATTTAAACTTTTCATTGATCAGATAACACATTTTTTACCTCTGGAGAAAATGACATTGGAAAAATATAATCGTGGACATATCTTTCAAGCTCTGTGGTTGCCATTGTTTTCTTATTTGGAAAATATATCTGAGATATGACCAGTGATGGAATGGTGCACTCTGTGGCTATTTTTCCTGACGGCCGGAAACACTAGTTGTGTTGTCATTGTCTATATTGTCGCTGTATTGTATAATTAATTGTATAATTATTTGTTTGTTTTACTTTGATGTGGGTTTATTTATTTATTTTTATTTTATTTTTTATTTTTTCCATTTTATTTTTTCCATTTTATGTTTATTTTCATGGCTCTGTTGTTTACTTTAAGTTATATTGATAAGCATTTTTTTGCGGGTGGAGGGAGAGAGGGGGGAGTGTAGTGAGTGTACTGTGATATTACAATATAAATGAAATGGCATCGATTACTGTACAATATAATGAAATAAAAAGACTTGTAAAAAAAAACAAAAAAACTGAGTAGCCAATGGGGACGCACCCCTGAAAGTCCCGCCCACCTGGGACGTTTGTGTCAAAATCGAAAACAAAAAATGAGGGAGCGCAAACGAGATTCAATGCACTGACCCGCTCCTGCGTGGTGATTCCCTGCAGCCTCCCGTACCAAGAGGTGCCTATCACACGTGGCATCTGGTCCCAAAAGACTGGGGATACCATCTACCATAATGCCCAGAGCAAAGTGATTGACCATTTCAAGGGCCGCAAAAAAATGTTTTGTCACGGAGACTGCTCATTAGAGATTGATGACATCAGGCCTTTTGACAACGGGCCCTTTTGTTTCCATGCAGAGATAGGACATGAGAGACACAAATACAACAATAGCTGTGTATTTATTGTTATGAAAGGTTTGGAATTAATACTTATTCTTCAGATTATTTAAATATCCCAAGCTATGTTTGTGTTTGCCTTCTAATCGACAAAAGTAATCTGCTCTGTGTTTCATGTGCTCAGCATCCCCAGAAAAACCTGTGATGACCCCCGTTCCAGCAGAAGTGGATGCAGGCTTAACAATTAATGTCTCGTGCTCTGTGGCCCACACATGTGCGTCACATCCTCCAGTTTTCTCATGGAGTGTCCCCAACATCACCAGCAAGGTCCAAAGCACCATGACGACACCGGGTGTGTGGGAGACGACCTCCACAATAACCTTCATAGCTGCTGGAGGAGACGGAGTCATGAGCCTTACCTGTACCGCCGTACTACTGCTTGAAAAAGCAACGAGCCAGCACAGTCCAGCTGAACTGTGAAGGTTAGAGCCACAAAGACCACTTGTTCAGTTTATATCTACCGTACATTCAGTTGTATAATCAACATAATACATTTTTATGAGCTTCAAAATGTTCCTACATCCACAGGATCAAGTTCTTGGCCATTGATCGCCACAGTGTCAGCTATATCCCTGATTTTAATCATCATAGCTGCAGTGATTGGAGTCGTCTTCTATAAGAGAAGGTAAATAAATCACAGTCAGTGGTGGAGACACTTTTTTCGACAGACATACTGACTACTATCAAAAATGTCAGGACAATTTCAATCAACACCTGTATATTCTATCATACAGGATTTAGACAACATGAATGCAACAATATAAACCTTCTCAATTCAATGATTCAGACAGACACACACACACACACACACACCAACAAACACACACACACACACACACACACACACACACACACACACACACACACACACACACACACACACACACACACACACACACACACACACACACACACACACACACACACACACACACACCACACACACACACACACACACACACACACAAACACAAACACACACACACACACAAAACAACAACTCGGTGACAGAACTACGAAGTCTACCTCTTTAGCTGCTCCATCGTTTTTGATCCATGTTTGAGCTTAATATAATGATACCTCCGTCAATCCAACGTGACATGACTCACATCAACATGAACTCATCCAAACATTTTCAATTGTCATCATGGTCACAAGACACACATTAAATTGTTAATCTCCTTCACTAACACTGGCTGTGCCCACCACAGGATAGTCATACAATGATAGTACATTTTGCTCACTAGCTACACATTTTAAAATAAAAGTGTAGTAGAGTAGTAGGCTAAAATTTGAATGTCAATGTAAGAATGCTGTGACCTCTAGTGGCAGTAGTAATCATGACGAAAAAACGTAAGAAGAAGTCAGGCTATGAAGACCGGTAAAATTGGCTTAAGAGTGGTTGGGAGTTGAGTATGGATGGGTCACACAAATAGGACTTCCACATTGTGAATCAGTCAACATTGAATTATTTCAACTGGCATAGCCTTTGTAAGCAAAAAGCTTAACATAAGTGACATTTACCCAGACCATGATCTTTTCCCTAAACCTACCGCGTAGTTTTGGCGCCTTAACATCAGGCATTAGAATGATGATAAAAAATAACTAATAACAGCCCTGTTATGGCCTGCTAACATGCACAAGGCGGGCAGAAGAGTTTTATCAGTGCTATTTAATGTACTGTTTTTTTGTTGTATTATGTAAAAGACATAATTTACAAGTAGAGTTATGAATGGCATTTTTTCCTAACCAACAGAAGGCGTCCCGACAACTCACTGACACCACCGCCTAGCCCTGAGAAAAGGTAACCCTAAAGCATAATAGGATAGGAGGATTTGAGGAACACTCGCAACCAAGATATGCCCATCTATTACAAACTGTTATAACTAACTATATAAGACCAAAGTAAAAAAGAAAAGTTAATTTGTAATGCTAGCTTTGTACACTTGCATGAATATGATAGGACTTTACTGATAGCCGCTGCTGTGAGAGCCAATTATTATAGCATGGATATAACAGCTGTGGCCAATCAGGACTTCAGTGCTCTACTTGTTTGTTTGTCATATATACATCCTATATTTCCACCAAATAGCAATGTAAATCTGTCTTTGTCAAACTTTCCCAGGAGATCTCTATGGGATAGAGTATCCAGGTAAGCTTTATCTAAATGAACCGAAAACCAATCTCTGTCTCATATCAAGTGGAAATAAAATCTCTGATTGTGAAGGTAAACTTCTGTTGTTGCAATGTTGAGGTAGAATGAAGGAGTCTGGAACCGTTGTTAGCCAAAAGCACTGAAGAGTTTTATTGGAGAAAGTACAGACAATAACGGCCGGGAGATCATCTTAGTTTCACACATGTCCAGTGCTCCACCAGCGATCTCTGAACCAAAAGACACAAAAACATCTAACCACCACGAGGAGAGGCGGGCTTCCAGAAAGCCCGCGTATAATCAATAGCCGATGCGAGACAATGGTCTGCTTGTCTCAAAGAGATCCTGCCAGGTCTCAAACCCCCCACGGACATAGGAGAAGCGTTTGACCTGTGACCTCAACCTACAGAGGAGTCTTTGAGTGACTTCAAGCAGATGTTTGCAGTATCACAGACTCTAAGGAACCATAAAAGACTCTATAAACAGATCAGATGAAAATATTCTCTTACAGATTCACTCTTTTTATCAATCTATTGATAACCAATTAACATTAGTCTAAGAATATTTCAGTCAATACTTAAAATCAATAGGCGTCCTCAGAGTTGGGTGGGCTCAGATACATTCATTACATTAAAAATAGAACAAGATTGAAAAACACTTCAATCACCATGATTGAACACAGTCAATCATAATAAAAATCATCTCTCTTCAGTGCTTGGCATTTTTGTCAAAAGGTACAATAATAAACACATGGGATACAAAATATTATAGCAAAATATATGTTTCAAAAATAAGATATTTTATCATTTATCACTCAGTTAATCTCATTCATCAAACACAGATTCTAAATCAGCTTACATCTTAAAGATTTACTTTAAGGCAATTACTTATTAAAAACACAATTAGGATTATAAGAAATCAATTGAGGTATAATTTAGGATTATGAGAAATCCAATTGAGGTATAAATCAGAATCATGAGAGATCCAGTTAAGGTTCCTAGTTTAAGGTATAAATTCACAGTGATGAATCGATCAATCTGTAAACTGTAAAGTTACAGTGTCCTCAATCTTTAACATTACTTTACGTTTACTTCATTACGCTTTATTCAAGAGTAAGGCACTTAGTAATACATTTATTTCATTCAAATACACTTGTTCAAAATCTGAAAAGGAAAATCAGACATTTTATTTGTATCACAACCTGCAAAGGAAAAAATCAGACATTTGTCCTTTAATCCAGTGTATCAACTGTAATCAATTATCAAAACATCTGTTCTTTATTCGGAATATCAACTTTAAACAACATCTCAATCGTTGAATGGAGGTACCCACGGGTCGGAGATCACGATGGAGACCCAGGGGTCCGGAAGCTCGGCATTGTACATTAATATTGTGTCCTGTACAGTTGAATGTCCAACTAGCCTTTGTGGGGCCTGGAGGGCAGTCTTGGCAACCCTTCGTATGGCTAATTTAACTACAGTGATCAAACAGATCACTAGGATTAGCACAACCAAGATAAACACTGAAACAGTAACAACAAATTTAACCAGCCCCGCTCCCCAAGATCCAAAAGTTCCACTTAATTCCCCAAATGTAAACCCATGAGTTTCATGCAATTCTTTTATTCCCCTGGCAGTATCATGAGCCATGTCCATAACTTCAGGTGTGGCATCAGATATGAAAGAACAGCACTCACTTCCTATCACCTTGCATGTTCCTCCTTGGGCCGCTAAGAGGAGGTCAAGCGCCATACGATTCTGTAGTGCTACTGTCCTAACTTCCTGCAATTCTTTGTGTTCAGCTAACATCGCTGTGTTGGATACATTTAAATGATGTTCTACCACTTTAGACAATAAGACAATTTCCTGCTGAGTAACATAAATACCGTACCAAGGCAAGAATAGGCTAGTTATCTGTTGTCCTTGTGTAATTGACCTGCTGTTCCTGTGTAGAGAGGGAAGTATTGCTGCAATCTCAGTAGCCTCTACTTTACGGATTAAAGGGATTAGGTAGGCTAGATAACAGGTACCATAAAAAACATCATATGGCACACATCCATAGGCCCGGTCCCCACAAACTAAGTAAACTCTCTGTGGGAGGGGAATTCTGGCTATATGTACTCTCACTATGGCATTACAGTCGCTGTGTCCCACATCAGGAGAGGTGTGAGATCCTACTGCATTCTGGAAACAGATGGACACATTCTTCCATTCATGCACAACAATTGGGGGGACATATACTGAGCAGTCACGTGTAGGGGGCTTGCCTAAGGGTATTGGCTGCGTACAGTCATGTATTTTAACCTCAACGGAGTCCACTGTCCTAGAGCCGAACCAGGGCACCACTGTTACCAACGCTTCCACTAACAAAGCGGGTGTGTGTGGTTGCATTGTACATGTTGGACTTGTAAAGTTAGCTGAACAATTAGTCTGAGCTAGAGCTAACTGGAATCTATATTCAAAAGCTAGGTTAACGTATTTCTTCACATATATTAGTTTTAAAAACATCAAGCGTTTGAAACCGTCAGGCAGGTAATCTTTATTTACTGTATCAACAATGAGAGAGACTAAGCCCTTGTACTGTAAAGGTTTTTCAGAGTCTATTGGGTAGGAAGGAGTGTAACAGTCCTCAGCCTCATCGCTAATTCTAGATGCTATGTCATTCCAGTTTACTAAACCGTAATCAGCTTTTGTGAAAGGAATTGGGCTAAACATAGGAGAATGCATTGATTCTGGCATATTTTGGCACAACCAACAGTTGCTAACATTACGTTCATGTGCATAGTCTAACATTAAACTTACTGCAGAATTAGTTTTAGTTTGTTTATAAGGAGTAATTAAGGCCTTTTTTGAAGAATCTACCTCGCCTCCTGATGGTTTAAGTGGAGTAGATGGAACATTTGTTTTGCTATTTGGTCCAGTAACTGTGCATGCAGTATCACCTAGATTGGGAATGCGGTAATCTGGCTTCCGCACTGTACATTTTACCTCCTTCCTTATCAGTGCCTCGAACCGTTCTATCGTGCTACACCACAGTTCTGGGGGCATTTCTTCGATGGTGTTAAGAACCATCCTTACCCCCTCTGGTGCGACCCTGAACCAAGAGTACTGGTTTTCTGGATATAACTCCCATGTTGAGTAAACTGAGAACACAGGAAACACAATAATACAGTTAGATGAGTCACATATTGAACTTGGGCAGTTAACGGCAATAGTCTCTGACTTATGATCAGGGAGGGAGACAATCCTCCTTATTCTCCCTCCTTTTCTCTCTCTTTGTGTCCCCTGCACCATACTGAGTGTCTGTGTGGTGTTTGGATACAACCTGTCCTTGTCGCTAGGCACTTCTTTGCGCGTTGGTGTTGTTTTGCCCTCAGGGTCTGGACCCTGAGTGGTCAAGTCGTCTGCGCTCTTAGATAAGAGCACCTTATTTTCTCCCTCAGATGGGCGAGGTCCCTCGCCACCTGTCGTTGGGATTGTCACAGCTTCATCTAGCAGGGCGTTCTTGGCCAGGTACAGTAAACCCAGAATGACGATGATGGTGACTGCCTTCACACGCCAGCATCCGGTAGAGGAGAGAGACGACATCTTGAAGCGTGAATCCACTCCGCTCTACCTTGTACTCTCAGGGCTGTTCTGGTCACTATTAATACCTGGAAAGGACCTTTCCACCTGGGAGACAAATAATCTTTTTCAAGCGATTTGATTAGTACATTATCACCAATCTGAAAAGGGTGGGTGGGCTCCTCACCAGGCTGGGGGAGCCTGTCAGCCACCTGCCTGTGAAACTTTCTCAACATGTCAGTTAGATATTTGACATAGTTAGTCATGTAATCCTCTGTCCACAAAAGAGTGAGTCTGTGGGGCATTACTGGAGGACTAGATCCTGTGAACATTGGCCTTCCCATCAATACTTCGTGTGGGCTGAGCCCTGTCGTTGCATTTGGTGAGTTTCTGATTGAGCACAGAACTAGCGGCAGCGCGTCTACCCATTTTAGTCCTGTGGTCAACATTGTTTTAGTGAGTTTTTCCTTTATAGTCAAGTTCATTCTCTCAACCTGGCCTGAGCTCTGTGGATGATAGGGAACATGCAATTGCCATTTGAACCCTAACACTGTAGCTAGACTCTGGGTTATCTTAGAAATGAATGCTGGACCTCTGTCACTGTTAATCCCTGCTGGAACACCAAATCTAGGGACAAAATCTTTGAGAAGACACTTTACAACTGTTCTGGCGTCTTCTTTTCTGGTAGGGTAGGCCTCTACCCATTTGGAGAACTGGCACACTATTACCAAAAGATATTTGAATCCTTGGCATGGTGGCATGTGCGAAAAGTCAATTTGCATATTTACAAAGGGCCCCGAGGGGGGCGGTAAATGTTCATGCTGAACTGGACCTTTTCTTCTTCTTGTCTGCTGGCATATCATGCATCTATCTACAAGGGTCTGTGTAGCTAGTGTAATGCCTGGAGCAAACCATTGTGACTTTATAATCCCATTCATCCCTCCTTTTCCTACATGTGATTTGCCATGTGCAACATGTGCCAAAACATGGAGGAATGAACGGGGACAGACCATCCGGCCGTCTGGGTGGAGCCACAAGCTGGACTCAGCGTCAAGTGTACAACCTCGTCTTAGCCATAAATCTTTCTCCCTAACATCAGCGCGGGCTTGCATGTCCGCGACATCATTAAAGGAAGGCAAACAAATGGTTTCTGCGGGTTGTGTCGAGGGGCATTGGAGCACCAGGAGGAAACTGCTGCTTGTTTAGCCGCGGTGTCGGCTAACGCATTTCCACGCGAAATAGGATCATTAGAATTTGTGTGAGCAGCACATTGAACTACTGCTAGCTGTGCAGGGAGCAGGATAGCGTCTAATAGCTCAGCTACTAACGCATGATGTTGAATAGGCTTACCAGCCGATGTTAAGAAACCGCGCATTTTCCACAAGACACCAAAATCATGGCACACACCAAATGCATACCTGGAGTCTGTGAAAATGG